TGGAAGAAGGTAGAGCAGTGGATGTGGTATACATGGATTTAAGTAAGGCGTTTGATAAGGTTCCCCATGGTAGGCTCATGCAGAAAGTAAGGAGGCATGGGATAGGGGGAAATGTGGCAGATTGGATTCAAAATTGGCTGACGTTTTGACGACAAAGGGTGGTAGTGGACGGAATATATTCAACATGGTGCTCAGTTATGAGTGGTGTACCACAAGGATCTGTTCTGGGTCCTCTTCTATTTGTGATTTTTGTAAATGATTTGGATGTAGGAGTGGAAGGGTGGATTAGTAAGTTTGTGGACAATGCGAAGGTGGGTCGAGTTGTGGACGGTGCGGAGGGCTGTTCTAGGTTACAAAGGGACATTGATAGGATGCAGAGCTGGGCTGAGAAGTGGCAGATGGAGTTTAACCCTGAAAAGTGTGAGGTGATTCATTTTGGAAAGACAGACTTGAAAGCAGAATGCAGGGTTAACGGAAAGATTCTTAGCAGTGTGGAGGAGCAGAGGGATCGCGCGGTTTATGTCCACAGTTCCCTAAAAGCTGCCACCCAGGTGGATAGAGTTGTTAAGAAGGCTTATGGTGTGTTAGCTTTCATTAATAGAGGGATTGAGTTCAAGAGCTGTGAAGTTATGTTTCAGCTACACAAAAGCCTGGTTCAGCCACATCTGGAGTATTGTGTCCAGTTCTGATCGCCTCATTACAGGAAAGATGTGGAAGCATTGGAAAAGGTGCAGAGGAGAGTTACCAGGATATTGCCTGGAGTGGAGGGTAGGTCTTAACGAGGAAAGTTTGAGAGCGCTAGGGCTTTTCTGTTTAGAACGATGAAGGATGAGAGGTGACTTGATAGAGTTGTACAAAATGTTCAGAGGTATAGATAGAGTAGACAGCCAGAGACTTTTTCCTAGGGTGGACGTAGCTATTATGAGGGGGCATAGTTTTAAAGTGAGTGGTGGTAGATACAGGGGAGACGTCAGAGGTAGGCTTTTTACTCAGAGAGTAGTAGGGGCGTGGAATGCCTTGCTGGAGAGGGTTGTGGAGTCGACCTCATTAAGCGCATTTAAGCGGCTATTAGACAGGCATATGGATGATAGTATAAGGTAGGGGTGGAGGTTAGATAGACCTTAGGTTTAGGGTAAAAGTTTGGCACAACATTGTGGGCCGAAGGGCCTCTACTGTGCTGTACTGTTCTATGTTCTATGAAGTTGTGGTCCTTGAAATAAGAGGACATCTGGGATGTTCGGGAGTGGAACGCCCCATCTTGGGAGCAGATGTGGCGGAGGCGGACGAATTGGGAGTAAGGGATCACATTCTTGCAGGAAGGTGGGTGAGAGGATGGGGTCATCTTCCGTTGTCAGCCTTGCTGCAGATCCTGCTCTTGACCTTCAGCTTTCAAGAGCCTTGTATCTGTTTGACTGTTGCAAGGGTTGAGATTCCTCAAATGCTACCCACTGGGCTCTCATACCTGACTTGCAGTCACACCCTCCTGTCCCTGACCAAATTCTGAATTCCTTAATCAGAAGTGTGATTGCCTCCTGGAACGAAGTATCCAAATGTCGTCTTCCCTTGTGCAGTGCAGTGTCTGCAGCTCAGGCTCCAGCTCTTTAACAATGATCTGGAGCTTAATGAGTTGCGAGCACTGACTACAGATATATCATTCTGGATCACCTTGGTGTTCAGCAGCTCTCACATGCTGCAGCAGGAGCACATCACCTGTCCTGTCAAGTTACTGCAGGTTTTTTGTACCAGTATCAGTTTTCTACTTAAAACTATGTTTTAATTTTGGGGGGCGAGTCTAGAGACCTAAACAATCAGGCTTTAGTACTCATCAATTCTACTTGCCAATTAGCTGTTTTTCCTGCATTCATGTCACATGGTTCATGAAGCTACTCTGCTAGCCTTATTGCAGGTAGGCCTCTTAATCTGTCTTTTATCCTCTCCTCGTTTCCCACTCAAAATATTCTGTTTTATAGCTTAAGAATTGAATAATACCTAATCATTTGAGATACTCCTCAATTAACCAGTTCAGAGCAAGAATCAATTTTTCGAGGGTGAAAACATTTTCAGATGAAAGCAACCACAATGCCTCTTGTACTCCACTCAACTCCATGTCTTGTCAGAATGCAAGCAAGATATTGTAAGTTTCACTCAAAGATTCTGATTAAATCTCATGTCTGTACTGTCAGTTTCACATTTTGGTAACTTTTTTGTGATAAACAAGATCAAAATACTTCGTCTGAGACGTATGTAAATATTGTTTACTTCTAAATAAAAACCGAAAGACCTGCGGATGCTGTAAATCCGGAACAATAACAAAGTTGCTGGAGAAGCTCAGCAGGTCTGGCAGCATCTGTGAAGGAGAAAACAGAGTTAACGTTTTGGGTCCGGTGACCCTTCCTCAGAACAGATGCTGCCAGACCTGCTGAGCTTTTCCAGCAACTTTGTTATTGTTTACTTCTAGATGTTTATCCAAGAGTGTTCTTAGGTTAAATGTTCGCTCTCTTGTTCCTACTCCAGGTCTAAATCTGCACTCTCTTGTTCACCAATATCTGCTTCATCACAGAAAGCTAGTTTGCAGGTGCAGCAGGTAATAAGGAAAGAAAATGAAATTTTGTCATCTATTGCTAATGGTTAATGTATAACAGTAGAGAGGTGTTATTTCAGCAGTACAAGGCAAGTGAGAATGTGCCTAGAGTATTGTATGTAATTTTGATCCTCATACTTGAGGTGGGATGTAGTTGTATTGGAGGCAGTTTCCAGGAGGTTTACTAAATTGGTTCCAAAGATAAGGGATTTATCTTTTGGAGAGAGATTGAGCAATTTAGGACTATATTGTCTGGAATTTAGAAGAATGAGACGAGATAGAATTGAGGTATATAACGTGCTAAAGGGGTTTCTTCATGTGGGACAATCTGGAATGAGAGGTCCCAGCTTTATGAAAGGGGGTAGCAGACTGAAAACGGAAGAGAAATTACTTGTCTCCAAAGGGTTGTGTAACTGTAGAATTCACTACTCCAGAATGCGGTGGATGCTGGGTCAGACTACATTTTAAGGAGGTGATAGACAAATCTTTAATTGGTAATGGGTCAAAGGGTTATGGGGAGTTAGCAGGAATGTGGAGTTGAGGCTGCGATGACATCAGCCATGATTATATTAAATGGCACAGTAGGCTTGAAGCTGAATTGCCTACTCCTGTTCCTAATTCAAATATCTTATTGTTTCTTTCTATTATGAAAGCAAATAGAAAAATGTGAAAGGGTATACAACAGGCTGCAAAGGAAATGTTGACAAAATGAAAACAAGTGGAACACTTGTTGGCAGGTGATTATACCAGCAATTGTAGAAAAAGGAAAGGAAATAAATAACTGAGCATGATAAAATTGAAACAAAAATAGACAGGCCAAAGAGAGAGAATATAACAGATGTGTGCTGGCTTATTGGAGTTTAAAAAAAATTAAATGTACGCACCAGAAGATGAAGTCTTTATTAGATAAACGCGTGCAGGAAAGGTGAAGATATTTCCTATTGTTTGAACTGATACATTTTGTCCAACTTTATTGTTACTGTACAAGAAATTGCGCAATTGTCCAAATTGAGGGAAATCCGCAAGATAGAGGCAAATGAAGAACCAAATTTTGGCTCTGATATTCCATTGGAGAAATGAGCATTTCTGCAGCCTAGACTTGCCTTTGAAATGCTGCTGCAAAGGGACCATGATTTCAGGAATGACTATTTCTTCTGGCACCAGTTTTTCTTGGATGGGTCTCTGCTATTTTGTAACTGGAGGCTCCAGTGTAGAATTGACTAAAGGCAAATGAATGTTTTCTAGGCCATTATGATATCAGAGATTAAAAAATGTTTTGCTTTGAAATTGATGTGCGCAAGAAAAACTCCAGGAGTAAACTAAGTAACAACAGAACATCTAATAAGAGGCCAGAAATCTTCAGGTTTGCACCAAAATCCCTATTTCTGACTGACTTCAGAGTAGAAGTTGACCACGTAGCTTTTGGAGAGGTTTCCCAGGTGAATTTACAGGCCAGGAGCCTTCCCAGAAGAAGGATCGCAGTCCAGTGAAGCAACCAACGCAGGCTGGAACAGATGGAACAGTGCTGAAACCATGTCCCCTTTTCAGCAATAGGTATTCTGTATTTTGGGGGACTTGAAGCCACTTTGATAGCAAATAAGAGAAAGTGAGTAAGAGTAAATGAGGAGTAGTGGTTGGGGAGGAGATTAGAGTGGCAGATAACTGGGGGTGGGTGGGGCAACCTAGTTTTGCTCTCGATTTTTCTTCTTTTTCCACGTGCTACTACTGTTATAATGATTGTGTTTGACGTTACTCCCTTTCTTTGGTCCTGTTTTTCTAATGTCCGTAGGATGCTTTTTGGTTTTCTAAAAACTGATGTAAAATATTTGTTTAAAGCCTGTCACTTCTCTGTTTTCTAATATTAATTCCCCAGTCTTGGACTTTGTCACCGTTTGACTGGTGACGTTTGCTCTATGCCTTCTTGCTTCACCTTTAACTTCCCTTCAACTGTGATCACCGCTAAGTGAATGCTGCACTTTGGCAGTGATGGCAATGCAGTGGGGCAAAGTGTAGGGGAAGGGGGTGAAAACACCCAGTTGCACAAAGTTTAAAGGTTTGAAAGAAGTGGTGGCAAACAGAATGTTATCCTATATCATATTGCAAAAGTGATCACAAGATGCAGAGTGCATGTTTGACACCCTGCACTAGTAACTACATCTAAATTGGTGAAGATGGGTATCAGGAAATCAATTATTTAATCAATTGAAGATGGTGTTGGAGGGAATGGTATAGGGAGAGATTGGATTTTTTGCCACTTTAAGCATGTGTACATTGAAATATAAAATGTAATGTCTAAATGACTATTTGCCTGCTGAGAGCTACTATTGTGAAGTATGGTGAGATGCTAGATTGCCTCAAAAAGCAACAATTGAACCACATATTCCCAACAACACAAAGTTAAGTTCTAACTTCCTTCCAGCAGACATCTGTAAATAGCAATGTGGACTACAGTATGGCAGTGCAAGTGGTGCCTTCGTATTATGCTGGAAGTCAAACCTATTTCCCTGGAAACATTCAAACAAGCCAAACCACCAAGGTAGGATGAATGAATACTGAAATGTTGAATTTGGTTTTGAATGATCTTGATAAACTGGCAAGTACTCCAGTGCACTATTTCCCTGACTCTCTTTGGCCAAATTCAGTAGCAACAGGGGATGGGAAAAACAAAGTTGGGAGCTGCAGCAAAATCTAAAGAGGCAACCGAGGACCTACAAAATGAATCAAATGATAGAGTCATACAGCACAAAAACAGTGCCTCTAATCCAACTTGTCCATGCCGACCAAGTTTCCCAAACTAAACTAGTCCCATTTGCCTGCGTTTGGCCCCTACCCTCTAAACCTGTCCTATTCATGTACCTATCTAAATATCTTTTTAAAAGTTGCAATTGTACTCCCCTCTACCGCTTCCTTTGGCAGTTCTTTCCAAATATGAACCATCCTCTGAAAAAATTGTCCTTCAGGTGCCTTTTTTAAATCTTTCTCCTCTCACCCTAAAAAATGCCCTCTAGTTTTGAATTTCCTTACCCTAGGTGGGGGGGGGGAACCTTGGGCTATTCATCATATCTATGTCCCTCATGATTTTACAAGTCTCTAAGGTCACCCGTCAACCTCCTACGTTCCACTGGAAAAAGACCCAGCCCGCCCAGTCTCTCCTTTATCACTCAAACCCTTTAATTTTGGTAACATCCTTCAATCTTTTTTACACCCTGTCCAATTTAATAATATTCTTCCTAAAGCATCAGGACCAGAACTGTACACTGTGTTCCAAAAGTGGCCTCATCAACATTCTGTACAGTGGCAGCATGACATCCTAACTGCTATACTCAATAGTCTGAGCAATGAAGGCAAATGTGCCAAACACCACCTTTACTACCTAGTCTGCCTGTGATGCAACTTTGAAAGAATTATGTACCTGAACCCCTAGGTCTCTGTTTGACAGCACTACCCAGGGGCCTTACCATTAACTGTATAAGTCCTGCCTTTGTTTGACTTAGCAAAGTGCAATATCTCTCATTTATCAAACTCCCATCAGCTAAGCCAACTTTAAGGGCATTTAAATGGTCATTGGATAAACATATGGATGATAATGGAATAGTTTAGGTTAGATGGGCTTCAGATTGGTTTCACAGGTTGGCGCAACATCGAGGGCCGAAGGGCCTGTACTGCGCTGTTATGTTCTCTGTTCTCAGCCCAACTGATCAAGATCCCTTTGTAATCTCAGATAACCACCTTCACTGTCCACTAAACCGTCACTTCTGGTGTCATCCTCAAACTTATTAACCATACTTCCTAAATTCTCATCCAAATCATTTATATAAGTGACAAACAACAGTGGACACAGCACTGATCCCTGTGGAATACTGCTGGTCACAGACTTCCAATCTGAAATACAACCCTCCGTCGCCACCCTCTGTCTCCTACCGTCAAGCCAATTTTGTATTCAGTTAGTAGGCTCTCCCTGAATCCCATGTGATCGAACTTTACTAATTAGTCTACTGTGCAGAACCTTGTCAAAGGCTTTACTAAAACCCATGTAGATAGTGTATACCACCCTGCCCTGATCTATCGTCTTGATTACATCGTCAAAAAATTCAATCAAGTAGCAAGTTAAGATCAATATCGATACTAAACACAACTCTTTCGAAATGCCCAACAGCAAATAACCACCTGGTTCATCCAACTTTGCCCCCACAATTGAGAGAACTGAAAATGGACCATTAGGAGAGGGGTTAACTGGAAAATTCCTGCCTGATCCCCTATGGCTCCTTAACTTTGCATAGAAGAGCTAAGAGGCTAATTGCTTGTGTTAGAAAGCTGCATTGAGGAGATGGTACCAAGATTGTCCCCTAACAGGGTGGTTCAGTCTGGAGTCTGGAGTTTTAATCTGAAATCCTGCACCCCATGATCCACTTGATACTATTCTGCATCAAAATTTCCTTGAAGTATAGCGCTTCTAATAATTTGTGTAATGTGTTTTAAATAAATAACTCTAATGTTCTATGACCTTAAGAGTAAAAGTGACATCGAACATAGCATTAAACTATCTGGACTGGCTGACTCAACATTTTTTTTTTCAGCTCCTTCCTCCTCGGTTGTGAAAATATCACTAAAATATAGATCCTCATTCAGTATCAAAGGATCAGAAACAATACCTAGGCTCATTGAGACTAAATTTGCTGTTGGCACTGCACCTGATTAAGATTTCAATTTATTTCTCAGCTTTGCTTCTTGTCACATGTATTAGTGAAGTGAAACTGGTCAACGTTAACTAGTTTGATCACCTGTCTGCTGAATTAACTAATGTCAGCTAGAGCAGTAATATTCTTCTTTGTCTAGCCACAGGATATACAAGTTTAGCCAAGTTTCTGAATCTAACTTTGATTAATTTATTTTCTCTTCATGGCGGTGACCACCTTGTGCTACATTGCAGCAGTCACTTGCTCCAGGGGCTGGAATCCTGGGTCCAGCACCAGTGGGAAACCCGATGACTAATATCAAGGTACGTTTCAGATCCATTTTAGTTGACTGGTAAAAATCTGAAAATGTACTTTCCATTGTTGTTGAATCAATTTTTAGCTATTTGCAGTGTTTGTGGCAACTCACTTAGATTTGCTGTGTAGGAATGGGTTGGAGTAGACCAGAATTGATTGTCTTCTACAGTGTTGAAGCGATTGAGTAGCATAAATGTCTGCTATTACCCTAACCCTGAGCGTAGCATATCTATTGCTTTGTTGAATCCTTTGCCAAGACATTAGCTTGAGTAGTGGAGGTGATGTATTTCCTAGAATCATAGACGTTGCAGAACAGAAATAGACCATTTAGTCCATCATACAAGTTTATAACTCCTCGCCTGACACTCTGCCCCGTTAAAAGGAACACACAAGTTTATTTCCAGAGTGGCAGAATTGACAAGTACAAAAATTGTGCTGAATTATTATATTCACTTCGATTGGATCGGAATTGTACAGCTTTGTTGCCATATTTTAAAAAAAAGAGTGAGACTTGGAAGACGTTGTAGAATAGAATTTATAAAAAATTCAGAAATTGGAATGTACCTATTCAGTCTGGGTCTAATTTTTCCTGATGAGGGAATGCTGAGGGGTGACCAAATAGGGCCCAATAAGATTGAGAGGTTTTGATGTGTGTTCCCAATTGTTGGGATGAGCAGAACTAGAGATGTGGAACGACTTTTATTTGTATAGCACTCTATAATAATAAAATGCCTCATTGTTTTAATGTGTTTATAAGTTTGGAATAAAAACACAATGAGTTTTGAAGAGTCCTATCTCGCTCAATGCTAGCTGTTTCTTTCTCCACAGATGCTGCCAGATATGCTGAGTTTCTCCAGCATTTTCTGTTTTTGTTTCAGATTTCTAGCATCTGCAGTATTTGCTTTTTTGAGTTATAAATTTGGCTTGGTCAAAGACTTGGGTTTTAAGCAACATCTTAAAGAAGGGAAAAGAGGTGTAAGGTTCAAAGCCAGAAATTCACAGCTTGGCTCCTTGGAAGCTAAGCACATGGCCTCTAATCAAAGCAATTAAAATTGAGACCAGAATTAGAGGAACACAGATATCTTGTCTTGGGGAACTGGAGGCTGTTAGAAATGGGAGGGAGAAAAATCAGAGGGATTTGAAAATCTGCATTTCAAAACTGAGACACTCCTTAACTTGAGACTACTGTAAGTTAATGAAGAATGGATGATGGGTGAACAGAACTTAGGTGTGTAAGGAAGTGGGCAGCAGAATTTTGGGAGATCTCAGGTTTTTGGCAGGTTAGGCAGGGGGAATAGCCAGCAAAGCATATGCTAGAATTGTTGCCTTCAGGCAAACAAGGCATTGAGAGTGCCTGGAAGACTTGACTTGCGGCAGAGGGTACAGTTGTAAATATTAAGCAGGAAATAGGTGTTGATAGCACGGATGTTAAAAAAAGAAAAAGTTATTGGCCTTAATCGTTGGAATTATTGGGAAATGTGCAGAGCTGGGAAAGATATGGTGTGCAGTTTAAAACTCAATGGCACAAAGCGTAGATCGGTTTGTCCGTCTGAGATCATGGCCGTTTGGTAGATGCACTGCCACAGGTTCTGAAACAGAATCAAGTTGATGTTGCACTGGAGGAATTTTCAGATTATCCAACGCCTTGTGTTCTGCAATGAGCCAGATCTCAGAATTGTGGTACCATGATAAGTGAATGAGAAATAGTTATCAAAGTGCATGTGAAATATGACTCTGCCAGTTGACGTCTCCAAGGGAAAAATGTGTAAATGAGCAAGAGAAATTATGGCATGAATAAAAGTCCTCAGGAACCTCTGAAAGGTCGTGAGGTATGGTGGTAATGCTGCATCGTTTGAATAGGTTGAAATGAGTTACATAATAGTCTGACCAGAATATTGGAAGGGAGGGTTTGGGAATTCATGTGTAATGAATAATAAAGGTAAATTGAAATGATTAAGTAGGACTGATGCACCATTCTCAATATTTACTGTTACTTCAACTAGACTGGTGAAGGATGCACATGAACTTGAAGAATGCAAACTGTGACATTGGGGGGAAAATAATATAGGAATGAAGTTCAGTGACAATGAAACGTTTGAGCCATTTCCAATGGAACTTTCTTTGGTAAAGTAGGATTGGCTAAGGGTGTTTCTTCTTTCAAGTGTGTGTTTCTGGTTCTGAAGGGTCTGATGCACTGGAAAGAGCACTGATCAAGATTGGAGGCATGCAAACGTGTTGCTTTGAAAGGGGAGTGTGAAGTGAGTATCACAAATGAGGTGATCTCAAACTGTAGGTGAAGACCCACAAAGGTTGAAGGTTAAAGTAGATTGGTGATGAAAGGCAGAAAGCCGTTGGTAAAACTATGCAGCTATTAGTTTTGGACATGTGTACCCTGCATTGGAGCTTTGCATTGAAATAAGGTTCTCCTTGGTTAAGGTGGTTGTGCTGATTGTACACTCAGGTTTGTGACGTTCTCATTTGAGATGGAAAATACTTGGAATAAGGATGTTGAAGAGGCTTAGCAACAATTGAATGTCAACAGGTAAAAGTACTATGATGAATAGAAGTCAAAAGCAGTGTCAGGATTTCACAATGAGACTGCAAAATAGTTAATGGAGAGCTGAGGCGATATATTGACTGAAAATTGAAGTGTGGGTTGGAATGTGTTGCAAGAAGTTGAACCAAATCAATAATTGATAAAATAAATTGTTATTTTAGTAGAAATTATAACTAGAAGTAAATATAAGTACAAGATTAACTTGTTATACTGCACACCATTCTCTTTCTGGCTTTGGCTCAGTTTGAATAAAGAAGCACTTTTTAAATTACAGTTTTTTTTCTCCAGCTCCTGACTTGTGTTCTCAACTTGGAGTTGAATTGCTTGAGTTTGATGTGAACCTATTTTATCAAGTTACAGAAGGCAATTGATAAATGTAAAGATTCAATTTTCTTCTATAGTTTTGATTGTAGACTAAAATGGGAAAAGGATTGGTTTAAAAACTGGAAAGAATTACTGCACTTCTTACAATGAATGTCAGGTAATTTACTTCTAAGTGGTATTTATACTGTTCCTGGTTCAAGCAGTGGGGTCAGGACTGCAGATGTGCTGGAGCCATGGGATGTCTGCCAAAGGAGATTGAGTCGGTAACGAGTTGCTAGCTGATTTCTTCGGAATGGTGACAGGTTGTCTGTCAAAGGTGCCTGCCTGCCTGCCAACAACTAGTTTCGACTGACTCCCTTGTGGCTGAACAGCTTGTGGGTGTGAAGTTTTGGTCAGAAGCCATCAAACCTTGAGAAATTAAGGTGCTATACTTTGCAGTTTTAAAAAAAAGACTCCAGCATGAAGAATAGCAGTTTATTTCCCCTTGATAATTGCTGGAAGCTGTTGTTTTTAAATCAATAAGTCAGAGACTTTATCAGTGTGAGCCAGTTACTCTGTGCCTCCTGCAAGCAATTGAAAGTTTGAAAGTACCTTCAGAAGAAAGGAGCAGTATGTCCTGATAAGCCAAAAGCATCATTACTGTCAACCCTGTTATCAAGGACATTGAACTGCCTTCCCAGTCTTTCCCTCTCCTGTAACACCCTTATTTTTGGTCTTTGTGTGTGTATAGGGGGAGTTTTAGCAGGGGGCAAAGGTTTGCCGATTAGTTATGTCATCAGTTCATAATGCTTTCAGGACGAGAAGTATTTATTGATTAGTGAAGGAAATCTACCATTCATATTTGGTCTAGCCTACTCTTGCCTCCAGTTCCGCAACAATGTGGGTAAACATGGAGTCTTAACTTTCCTCTGGAACAGTCCTAATGAGCTACTTCATTCAATGGCACTTAGGATGGGCAGCAAGTGCTGACCTTGAATGCCAGTGCTACTTCCTGAACTGCTCACTGGCATCTCCATTCATAAGTTGTTTCTTCCCCAGTTTGTCATTGGTGAAGCTATTGCCAACAAGCCAAGAGAGATCCAACTGTTGTTTGAAGGAGTGGCTCCTCACCACTTCCTTTCATTCCATATATGGGGATGATTTTTCTCTGGTCACCCCATGAGGGAATTTTTGTGGGTGACTTGGGGACTTCCAGTGACAATTTTGCCCACCACCTCCATGTGTTTTGAATGCCAGCAGTTCAAGGGCAACAGGTAAAAGGTAGATTAGACAGGAAATACGTATTTCGGTTTCTCTGAGGATCACTGGTTGAAAATAGTGTGGGGATGAGATTAGAGAAGCAGTTGAAGTTGATGTTATAGAATACCTGCAGAAAATGGGAGGGCTATGGTGACACTGGCCCATATCACATTTCAAGTCTGCCCTACCAATGCTCCTCCCACCCTACCCTTCCTCAAACCTTGTACTCTGATCACCAAGTCATCCCCATTTAACTGCTAGATCTCGATCTATCTCTGACCCTCCCTCCTCACATCATTCGCACTGGTTAACAACCCAACTCTCATTACTCAGCTGTCGAAGTGGTTCTGCAATGCTTAAGCATTTTACTCCCTGGAATATGGCTGCTATTGCTGTTGTTTTTAAGTGTAGTTTTTATGACAATGCACTCCAGTGCTGGACTGCTCTTGTTCAATAGTCTTGCATCAGTGGTCCAGTTGGAAAAACGGAAGATTTGGGGTCTGTGATAACACGGTGTAGAGCTGGATGAACACAGCAGGCCAAGCAGCATCAGAGGAGCAGGAAAGCTGACGTTTTGGGTCGAGACCCTTCTTCAGAAATGGGGGAGGGGAAGGAGATTGGGATTCTGAAATAAATAGGGAGAGGTGGGGGAGGCGGATAAAAGGAGAAGATAGGTGGAGAGGAGACAGACAGGTCAAAGAGGCGGGGTTGGAGCCAGTAAAGGTGAGTGTAGGTGGGGAGTTGGGGAGGGGATAGGTCGGTCCAGGGAAGATGGACAGGTCAAGGAGGCAGGATGAGGTTAGTGGGTAGGAGATGGGAGTGGGGCTTGAGTTGGGAGGAATGGTTAGGGAGGCGGGGACGAGCTGGGCTGGTTTTGGGATGCGGTCG